CATGTGGTACTTATACAATAAGAAGTGTATTTCTTAAACCACATGTATAATATGTTAACCTTGTTGTGGCCTATCCCCGCTTGGAGGTAACCACAGGCTTGTTCAAGACTTGAGGCTGCTCTCCACCCTGATGTGGCCGGCACAGTATGTTGCGTTTTATATCCTCTTGAAGCCTCTAAATGTAAATGTTTTATAAGTGTTTCCAGACTGTACACTTAAATTGTAGATGCAACACATTCTCCAGATCTGTTCATGGACCGCACATTTGGTGACACAGTTGGTTGTAAAATGTTGACACTACATTATCAGACATTAACAGGTTGTTTTCTTTGGGGGGTAGCCCACTATTTCTTTGCTGAGGTGAAGCTCAGGATGTCCTTTCATAGGCAGTGTCAGCTTTTGGTGCATCAAAAGTATTGAGGAAATGTCAAAGGAATATTTCACCATCGAGATATATAAGCACATTTTTAGCATGCAACTTGCTGAGAGATAAATAAGAAGATTGATACCACTTTGCCAAATAGAAAACCACAGCCATCAGCTGTTTAGCTTAGCATAAAGACTAGCGAAAATAGGGAAACTCTCCATACAAAACCTTAAATGCATGTTATTCACACAAAATATCTTGTTTGGGTAATCAGTGCAAAAAAACAATTGTAAAAACTACAATTTGCTTTTATGTGCAGGGTTTTTTGCGGAACAATTTCTTAGCTCGGGGATGTTGGCGGCGCCTCAATCAAGTTAATGTTCTGAGTCAAACAATAATCAAACCTATCATTGTGTTAAACTCTCAGCAAGATAACAAATAAGCATGTTTCCCAAAATGTCAATTATTCCTATAAAAGTTAGCCTTTTTATGTGGGGTCCGGGTCAGTGCAAGACAAGAAGAGAAAGTATTAAAAACTGTTTGCAGATGTGCGGGCTGACTCTTTCATACAAAACAAAAGCAATATATTCTGGTCTGATCTCACTGAATGCGTCTCCTCCAATTAGTATCAATTACCTCAAACATCTCATCCTAAAAAAACAAGTTCGGAGAAAATTGCATTTTGCTGAAGGCTGCAAAATTATTAATGACACAAGAGTGCTCTGATACTTCAAACACTGTCAACTCTGATATGAATTACTTGTCTCCCAAAGCCTCTCCTCACCACTCTGCTTGTTTTATATTTATGTGGAGAAAATGACTACGGGATGAGCTAGAAGAGTGTATTTCCTCTGGGTCATCAAGAGTAACAGTATGTATTCATGGCTGCAGGATGAATGAGACAACATTTATCATTCAGCGCTAAAAAAGCTTGAAGATGCCGGATGTTTTTCTAAATTAGCACGGCTCTTTCCTTTTCTAATCCACCTTCCAACTGCAACATTAATGTCACCCTGCATCATTTATCAAGTGGAATTTATAAAGCAAGCATTTCGATATGCAACTAAATATCTCAGCTGCAAACATTGTCGCCTATGTTTTATTTTTCATAAATACCTTTTGGGAAGAACTTCTGTTACTGCACTCATGCATAAGCTAACCAAGGTGCGCACACACACACACACACACACACACACACACACACACACACACACACACACACACACACACACATACACAGATACACAATATGAGGGAAAGAGGTGTGAAAGCCAACTATGTTAGATCATGTCATCGGGCAATATGTGCTCCTGTTGCTCAACATATGTCCCCGTAGCTTTAGGTCTAATCCTGTGATGATGTGAAGAACTCACTGCTGAGAGGCTGCTGGGTCAAACTCATGGCATCAAATGTGTGTGTGTGTGTACAGCAAGAGATGATGAAGTGTGTGTTTCACATGACCGCCCAAGGAATATCCCATCTGCTCAATGTAGCACTAACACCTCCACTGTTTGTCCGTTTGTTTGTGTGTGTGTAAGAATAGAAGATTACGGAGCATGTGTGTGTTCACCTCTACTCTGAGATCAAGCCATTCCTGCGGCCATAAATGCACGTTTCAATGTGCAAGCTGTCATACCTCATGCATTATCAACTAGTACATTGACATAATAAAACCTCCCCATGCTGCTTTTTTCAGACCAGTCCAAGTGTGTGTGCTTCATTATCATAAACGCTTGCGTCTGCAGAGCTTTGCCCTCCATCAGATGACCAAAATGAAATGTGAGGAGTTTATGATGCGAAACATGGATTCACATTGCATCTGGTTGAAGTTCACTGACATTTCACATGATGCAATGATTGTAGAGATGTGTATGGCATTAATGACTTTGTCTGTCTGCTCTGCTGAGGCATTCGAGCAGCAGGTTGAGGTGCAGAAGAGCCAGAGTGTCCGTCTGTGTCCAAGACATTGAATAATTGATGAGGGCGATGAAAAACAGCAAATGTGCGAAGGCTCCATCTGTGACCTCAGACCTCAGTTGATAAGAATCGCTGCTGTCCATGAAATTAATAGCTTCCCTTTGCTTTGAGGGCGCAGGAGGTTCAAAGAAATGTGGCGGGCACGGAGAAAGAAAGAGGCCCATATGGACCAGATTTAATCAAGTGTTTTTGATCTGGAAACACAAGATAAAGAGAGTTATGTATACAGGAAGCGTGTTTAATAGTGTTTCATTTTGGAAATATGGCATTCTTGCCGAGAGTTCCATCAAAAAGATTGATTCCGCTCTCGTATGCTATAGCTATATGAGCTAAGCCTAGCATGGAGAATGGAAACTGGGGAAAACAGCTAGCCTGGCTCTGTCAGAAGGTAACAAAAAATGGCTTGCCAGCACTTCTAAAACGTTATTTTAAGTCTATTTGTATTGATGTGTTAGTTGTTAAGATTTATTCCACTCTCATGTTTAAATCTTAAAATATGACGCTACATTCTGGTTAGCATAAAGATTTAAAATGGTGTCAGCTAGTCTGGCTCTGTCTGTACAACTGGTCTGTAACCAAATCTACCTTTCACCTCATTTAAGCTGAACTGTGTTTCTTGTCTATTTTTCTGAATATGACCGTGATGCTATCACTAGTAGCATGATTAGCTTAACCAAGCACAAACACTTGAAGTTAAACATTCCTGGGCATGCTAAAGTCAGACACTAACCCCCCTAAAACAACACTCACGTTTTGTGAAATATAATGTATTTATTTGTGAGCTCTGAAGGGGCTGGTTAGAAAAGGTTAGGTTTCCCCTTGATTCAAGTAATTGTGCTAAGCTAAGCTAGCTGTGCGCTTGTTGTAGCTTCATATAGCAGACGTAAGAATGATATACCCTCACTGCCAGGGATGTTGGGAAGTCTTTCAGGATACTTTTTATATTTTGTTCAAGTTGTTTTGCCTTCTAAACTCACAAACAAACTAAGCCATGTTTGAACTGAATGTTCTCTCTCTGCACATTTAAAACAAGGCCTGCTCCATCATACTACACTGACAGTTGTCACACATTCATGGGACTTTATTGTTTACACACCACACAAGCACCTGCAATATATATCTGTTATATCACAAATATACTCTATTGCAACAATGATGTTTTCTTATATTCTTTTCCACGATATATTGAAATGGATTCTATGATTATATTAAGATTTTTCGAAAACACACTGACTGTTACCTCCCGTACCAGTTATTCTTTTCTTATCCGATATGTGTGTGTGTGTGTAGAAACTGCCATTGTTCTTGTTATTAATAGTGTTTTCTGACAAATTGCTGTTGTTGTTTTTGACTCTGTTTACAGTGAAGACCTTTTCCAGAGTTATCTCTGTGTGACTGGAAGACTGGAGGCATCTGGTTATAACTGAATAAAGATTCTTTGGCAGCTGTTTGGTATCCACTGTCACTGTGTCTTCTCTCTTCTCTGCTGAGTTCAAAGAGCGCTTTGCTCCTTAACATTATGCGAAAAAATTCTCTCAAAAGTAAAAAAAAGTGCATATGCAATATTTCTTTTAAAGTACAATATCAGATTTCTTGTGATTTAGCTTTTGTCTAAAATAATAGAAGACATTTAAGTATTGTCTCAATGTAGTTCTGGATGAAAAGGGAGACATTTCCCAATATTTAACAAATATTGAACTGAAGATAATGATAATGGGTAAATTGTCATTGGCTTAGTTTGTTTCCTGTTTTACTTTTTCCTCTCGTTATATGTCAGGTCTTGTTTTACCTCCTGCCTTTTGACCTTTCTACCGCCTTTGTGATTGCGTGCTCCGCCCTGATGAGTTCCAGCTCTCACCTGCCCCTCTCACCCTCCTGTCCCAGTATATTTAGCAGGTGTCCTCTGTTTCATTTCGTGGTCAAAGTGTTCCTCTTCATCTTTCGAGCCAGCTGTAACTATTTTGCCTTTTTCCGAGTGTAGTACATACATCATTATTTTCCTTCTTCCTTCCTGTTGCCTATGCATGTGGGTCCACCTGCCTCCACAACCAAGATATGAGGTCTTTTATAATTGTTTACTTGACAGATGAAATATTACTTGTTGAATAAGGAAATACTTCAGCAACCCACTGGACACTGACTTTTTTTTTAAGCCACTCTAAATAGGACATTTTCCCTACTCACTTTTCTTTTACAATACGCTGATATAAGTCGTTAAAACCCCTGAATGTTTCTTTATTAACGTGTTAATGACTTATTGAGCAACAACCAAAGTTAAAGTTTATCAAATATCTACTAAATATAATATTGAGCAGTTATTATGACTATGAGTCAGTTCAGCAGCATGGAGTCAATCTGGTGTGGTTTTGGATGGAGAAAAATAAAGGCATCTGGGGTTGTCTTTGTTCTTGGCTGCCCTCTTGTGTTCAAATGTGGCTCTGCAGCTGTAGAGGTTTGTTTTGTCCTCAAAGGCATACAGTCACATGTTTGGACCTTCTGTGAATTCATTCTGATGTGTTTCCTGATAGACACACTGATTTGTTAAAAAGAATGTCACATCCTTCAAAAGCAGTGGCATGTTGCATTTGAGGAACTTCCCTTGCATGTAAATAAATCCCCATTTGCACCTTTATTGTTACAAAGACTCAGAACAAGGTTTCTTCAGAGGTATTTTTAATTAGAGTGCATGTTTTCACTCCATGGTTCCAATTAAAGAACAAACAAATCATGTGCGTCACTGTTTGTATGACTAAATGCAAATAAAACCCTCATGCCTGAGATAAAAGGCTGTAACTGAATCTCTCAGGGAACCAGGTCATGGCTTGAAAGGGATGTTACATGAGGACAGGAGATACTGTACTGTTAAAAATCCATTACTGTCCACTCAGAATAGCAAACACATTTGTGTGATGGTTGGCGAAAACAAGATCTTAACAGCAGAAATCCCTCGGCCCGTATTTGGCGTTTTCCTGGGACACTGATCTAGTTTCTTATGCCAACTGCTACACTAATGATTAAATGGGAGAGTTGATTCACATTCATGTTTTGCGATTGAACAACAGCAGGGGAAGATTTGTACCAGGCTGGTCCTGCCCCATCGTAACAGGAGAAGTGTTAGAAATGTTTGTGTCCTCCATCTGTATATCAGAGGAAACCTTGGCTGTGTTCAGACCGGCTCCGTTTGCCTTTCAAGTTTTATTTTACCTTCATCAAAAGCCTTGTGCATATTAAAAAACTATTTTGAGTGTAACTATTTAGTGAAATAGATTATAATATTTAATCATCTAAAGCAGTATGAGATTTAAAGCCAACTCAAGAAAAATGTTATGTGATTAAGGCTACTGCTGATATAACCATATTGAAACAATTAGAAAAGGTTTTTTGGTCTGTTTGAAAGCAGCATTTTCAAAAAATACTGTTTTTAATCCTGTATAGTTTTCAGACTCTGAAACAAAAGCAGAATTTGAACATTTATCTAAAAATAAAATGGGGTAACAAGATTTCAGCCATGCTAGCAGGTCAGGTTGGCTAAATAGCAACGTTAGCTTGCTAATTTGCATACAATGACTTGTCATGAACCAAAGGATTGGAGAGTGTGATGGTGCAAGAACTAAAAGTTAAGGGACCCCCAAAAGGGCATGAATGACTTAGTAAAATATTTTATGACATTCCTCCAATCATTAAGATATTTCAGTGTTGGACTAACCAAACAGCCTGCATTACCATTTATAGAGCCATTCTGCTACCATGGCTAAAATAACAATGTCAAACTTGAACACTAAGCGACATTTAGTTCAATACTTCTATAAAAGTAAACAATAAAACTGCCACAGGAGTCTCTGCCTTGCTTATCGACAGAAAGGGGAGAGACTAGGTGTTGCCTCCCAGGCAGAAACAATGGACTAGTGTTTAAATATTGACTCTGGCTCTGGAAGAGACACATTTATTTCACTCTCACCTCGGGTCAAGGCTGAACCTCGACTGTGTTTGCTCTGCTGCTGTTTTGCTGATCTTGGCTGTTTTCCTGTAACTATATGAGCGTGGAGACCATTTTCTGACGGACTCTTAACAATGGAAAAAGGAAAGGTTTTAATTCTGAAGTGTGTTTTGAAATACCAGCTTTGTAGTTGGTGGCTGCAGTCGTGACACACAGTATTGTTGGCTCAGTACTGTGGGGTAAAGTATACAAAAGGTACCTATATGACACTAGTGTTAGACTAATTTATGATTGTGCGTTGTCCTAAGTTTAACAAAGAAAATGGAAATGATCTAGGCCCCAAAATGGTAACCCATGGTAAACCAAAAACAGCCACAAAATGGAGTCAGACAAAACAAGTGCTTATAATAATGTCTTTTTTGGAATAAATCTTTCTCTTGTCAATTTTGTAATATTTCTATATTTGTGTTTTTTACACTCAAAAACATGTTAAACAGTGTTAATTTGACAAAGAAAAACAAACATGTTTGGCATTTGAGTGTTGCTGGTAAGACAAAGGCAGATAAATAGGGAGAAAAGGAGAAGTCCTACAGCAGGGAGTATTTCTCCCACAGCGAGCCAGATTAGACTCAAATACGTCTGGTCGACACGAGACCCCATGCCTGCACCCATCCCATGCTTTCAGTTTCCACACAAGATAACAAGAGAGCGCACGTGTCAAACAAAGAGATCAGACAATTAGATCACAGGCTGTGGTAAGTCACTTGTTTCCAATAAAAGGGAGACTGGCACACAAAGAGTTTAGGGGGCGAGTGTTGTCGGTCCAGGGGTGATGGGGTCAAGTGAGGAGGGGTGGCTGGGAGGTCAGGCAGGTCTCAGTTCATTGGAGTCTCCTGGGGGGGCGAGCCTTCAGGCACACCGAGCACAGACTCATTGGAGGGGCCCTCCTGCTCGCCTTGGCTACTGGAGGAGGCTGGGGGACTGATCTTAGTCTGCGGAAGAGGGAGGAGGAAAAACAAGGAAGAATTATTCAGTAACTCAAAGTAATACATACACACAAACAAATTGTTGTCACTAAGTAGCCTTATCTGGGGGCTAAGATTGAAATACATCGATTTAAATAAAAATAATAACATAATCCTTTTACAATCATGTAGTTTAATAGACTGAGGTATTCTGCTGCCTTAGCGTCATTTGGGGGTCTAAAACAGTAGCTTAAAGTGGCTAACGCTAGCTAAATATTGCTGTATAAGTGTTTCAGTTTGCTGGATTCCACTTTGGGATTATTAGATAAAGCTATTCATAGATTTATTACATACTGATTGAAATGGTTATGTTTTCAGTTAATATACAAAGCATCTGACCATGTCTATAAGACTTCATTAAGCTGCTAAAAGGCAACACACATTTCCACACAAATATAATGAAACTAAATTAGTGAAATGTCCTGTTTACATTCCCGTTAAATACTATAAGTCCTTATAGTCATTAGTTCAGCTGCCAATGTTTTGTAAGGCGTGTCTGAAAAAAAGAAAATGTTACCTTCAAAGTCTCCACTTTCTCCTCAAAGGACTTGAAGGTTGGTGCTGCATTCCTGTCAAATAAAAGACACAAAACCACAAAATCACAGACCAACCTACAGTATTTGGATAAATCTGACATGCTTATATTCTCAATCAATACAATTTCAGCAAAAATATGAACAAGTCACCTCTTCAGAAGGAAGAAGGAGCAGGATAACACACCTTTAGAGGTCATGTAATCTGATACTAAATACAGACAATGTAGGATTTTAAAGTGACCCATTTGTGCTCTACGGAAAGATGCCAAGAGGTGTTGATTTCCATGAAAACACAACCATGAGAGTAGTCAACATAAATATCGATTTGTAGCATTTGAAATGTTGTTTCATACAACTTTAATAAATCTAGGCAGACCTTAGAGGGAGAGCTGTAGAAACATGATGGATGCTAATGTTCTGTGATATTTTTGTGGTCAGAATGCTTTGCATGATTGGATTACTTTGTTTAATCTCGCATAGTGCTGAAATGAATTATACATTTGTCTATCGTTAGGCTATCAGCTACTATATGGATAACTGACTAGATTCAGTGTTTATAACCTCTCAAATATGAACATGTTTAGTCTTCTTTGACAGAAAACTAAATGTATTTGTTGGTCAGACAAAACAAACTATTTGAAGACACTCCTTAAATAGTTTGAAATACATTTTATAGACTAAACAATTCATTATTTAATCAATTGTTCAGGTAATCCATAAATTCATTGAATATGAAAATGATGTACACTCTAATCTGACACATTTAGACCTACACTTCATCAAATTCACTCATATCTGGAATTTTGAGTTCAAAATTTGGTCAGAAAGGAATATATAGTACACTGGACCGAGCGTCTTCCTGAATGCGGACGTCTAAACAAGCAGCTAACGGATGCTGCCTTGGGTTTCAAAGATACCTTTTATCTCCATATTTTTGACAACATTTTTGCAAGGCTGCTGTCAACTGGACAAAAGAGAGGTCTGTCTAGCTAAGATTATAAAAGCTGCAGCTAGATAGCTCATGGTAGATATTAGCATTGGTCGTCTTTGACAAACTCAACTTACATACTTAGGACCTTTTTATAAAATGGAAATACTGATCCAAAGCCAAACAAGTGTCTATTTCCTGTAGTCCTGCAAAAACACACAGTGCAGCCTTTTCCTGGATCATATTTAATTCAACAGTTATAGTTCAGAGGGCTCCACTGTGTGCCTGTCACATCAACACAAACTTCCTCTTACCTCATGACAGGCATACTAGCTGAGTGTTGCAATGAGCGCATACTATCCGACAGCATAATGGAGAAGAAAGGGGGCGTTAGTAGTCATTTTAAAATAGTACACAATGAGAGAAAGACAGGCTTGCATGTTCAAACACAACATGCAGAACATTCATCTTCTATATGTTCAATCAGTGAGTATTCTAAGTGCATTAATCCTATAAATCCTGCTTTATCCCATTAAGATTGATTGTGTATTAACACAGTGGGTGTGTGCTAATCCTGTGTATTACAGGGGGGATATCTTGTCGACAAACACACACACTCTCCCTTACACACTCACACATCCCCCCTCTTTGACCCCTGTCAGGTCGATCCTCACTACCCCACCCCCCAAAACGGTCTCTGTGTGGAGGCTCATCCGTGAGGCTGCATTTCTCCGCACACTGCTGCTTTGAGGGGCTAATAATCTTATTTGCAGCTCAGTAATCCCCAGAGAAGGAGGATGACAGGGGAGAAGACAGATTAGGATTGGGGGGTGAAGGCTATATCTGGAGCTCTATCTCTAATGGAGCAATCTGTTGCTGTTTTTTTAAGCCTTGTTTTACCAGAAAATATCATGTTTATTGGTAGATATTGAAGAAGGTAGTTTGAAAGTAGGATTTAAGGACAGAAAGTGTATCTATTTAATCTATCCCCATACATTGGCTATGTACTGTATGCACAAACACACCTAATAACCTCTACATTTATGCGTAGATATGACTCTATTTCAGGCTAGTCGGTAGAATTTGGTTGATGACATGCTGAAAGAAATGTGCAAACTAATTGGACTACAGCGGTTCCCAACCTTTTTCAACTCAGGGCCAATTTACGAATAAAAAAAAATGTTCGCGGCCTACATTCAACCATAAACAATACGGAGGCTAAATAAAGTTCTGATTGGTCAATTTAGAACACGTGACACGTTGTTAATCCAGTAGAACAGACCGCTGTCAAGGACTGTAATGACCGTTGCTAAGGAGGATCAAGAAAGAGAAAGGATAAAAGAAAATCTTAATAATGAATTGTTTCCACACAAATCATAATGTTTTGCAAATTATTTGGCGGCCCACTTGCAATCCCGCTGGACTATAGGAAAGAAACTAAAGAAGACGTTAGTATATTAAGGCTGATTCTAACAGTCCATCTAACCAGCACTTTGAGATCCCTGGGCGATTCATCAAAGATACTGCTGTCCCTCAGAGATATGGTGCTTTACACATTTTATTCCCTTTTATATTCTCTCTGAAGTCTCCTGTCTGACTCACCTGACATCCTCCAGCTTCCGGGTGATGGCTGAGCCCATGTTGGAGAACGCCGCCGTGGCCTTCAGACCCGCCTGGGACAGAGTTTCAGAGGTCCTCTTATAGCTGAGAGAGAGGAGAGAATGGGAAGCAAAACGAGAAGATGTGAAAGTGATTAGAAGAGACACAGAGATCAAAGACTGAAAAGAAGCGTCAAGATGTGAACTAAACCTCAATGTCTTTTTTCCGTTTCCTCTCATTTGAAACCCATCAAACGGTTTCACATGTGCTACAGGCAGCTTGTCAAAAGCACTGACATCCTTTTCGTTATTGTTCAGAGGAGAAAGAGCCTCCTCTCAACAGCGCTGACAGATTAAAACCATGTATTCAAGACATTCAGTGCGGAAATGAATAAAACATGATCAAAGAAGATGTATATGTTGAAGAAATGCTGTATAATAGAGCTGTGTGTCATGAGGTCAGAGGACAAGCTACTACCAGAGCTATCTCATGAGAGATGCTATTGCCTATATTCTAAAGGGAAGAGCTCGGTACCATGTGAAATGTATCTAGTGAAATATTAGTGTGCTGTAAGGTCAGACGGCAGCATGCTGTGGTGTGGTGGGTGGGCACTCACGCGATGGAGGTGGTGACATCCTGCCAGGTTTTGGTGAAGTTCTGTTTCAGCTCGTTGAGAGGTGTGATGCCCAGCTGCCTCTTAATGTCCGCCAGCTGCTTCTCCTTAGCTGCCAGCACCTGGGACAGAGTCTGGATCTCATCCTCAACCTGCACACACACACACACACACACACACACACACACACACACGGAGACATTAACGTATACCTTTTTGAAGTTTAGATGTACACGGTATGTTTAACCTTGTCTATATTCATTTAACCAAATAAAGAGAGTGAAGGTGAAATATTATCAACTGTTTATTTCCAAATAGAGACAATATGTTGAGATAAATAAGCAACTATTTGGATACACAATTAAAATTAAGATTTAAATGAATTCAGCTTCCTCAATTTGTAAATGTTCTCCTTTTTCATGTTTAACATTGTAGATTATTTGATTTGGACTGTTAGTCTAATAAAACATGACATTGTAAGATGTCAACTTGGTTGCTGGGATTTGTTTTTTTTCTGACATTTCATGGATCAAATAATTGATTGATCGGTCAGGAAGCATCAAGTTAGTTTGTTTCCCAGTAAGTTGAAGCTGCTCAAAATGTGGCAGCTCTTTTAAAAAAAAAGGCACATACAGCTCAGGTTCTTTGATTTAAGAGAGTTTAACTTATGTACTCCATTTTCTCCTTCCTGTTGAATCACAGCAAACAAGATGCCACCATTACAAAAGAGCTGCTGGAAACATTGGCTGTCATGGGAATTACACATCAATCATCTGAAGCAAGGTAAGTGGTTTGAGCCGCTCCAGGGAACTGAAATAAGCATCTTGTTGCTATGGAAGGCTGTGGTGAACATAATGGAGCCTGCTTTTAAAACTCCTCTCCACTATCTGGATCGGGTCCAACACCTGATCTTGACTCCATGAACCAAGACTTCTGTAATCCCTGATCCCTCCTGACCTTGACCAACTCTTCTTGTAGCTCCTGCTGCTCCTCTTCTGTCATGCCTGGGGGAGGGGAAGAGGGGCCGACAGACGTCACTGCATCTTCTCCCACCTCAGGGACGGAGACTGGATGTAGCTGGGAACCTGGGAGGTCAAATAAGAAGATATTAGATCCATCCGTAACTCTCTCTGGCGAGTCTCTTGGCAACATGACAGCGAACAGGTGGTGGGGGCTGATGTTGGTTGTCAAACCCTGCTCAGCTGACATGCTGTTCCCCTGGAGGACGAGGAGGAGAAAATAAGCTTAAGGAAAGTAAAGGATGCTACAGTTGCTGTTTGATGATGGGTGGTATCAAAGAGGGAACAGGTTTAACTTCTACTGCACAGCCACACCTCCTCCCTCTCACACAGTCATATGTTCACTCCTCACACATACAGTATACAGTGAACACTCATCCTTCATGTAGATGCCCAGTAGGAGCCGCTTTGCATCAATAATACAAAGACTTTTCTAGATGGAGCCATCCTGGGCTCAGACAGCGGGAGAGAGCAGAGACGGTTCAGATCTATTGCCAGGTGAGGATATAATGGGTCAGAGATGAGCGGGGAATACACAAACATGCCTCTCTGGAGTCCATTTTCTCTTTCTTCATATTTTTTTTAATTCACTGTTGAAGGCAACACACAGAAACAAAGACAGAAATAGGAAGGTGTATAAGATAAAGGGGAAACCGTGGAGTTGAATAAATCATTGTGAAAAAAGGACCTGCTAGAGAAAAGAACTGGGACTATACTGTGCTATTACCAGATGCAGTACAGCCTGAAGTAAGGCCAAAATAGACTTGAAAGTACATTTCATTAAACCCTTGGCCTTGTTATTGTTATTTAACTTTTGAAACCACAAGTAACACTATACTAAAAAGAACATTTGGGTTGCTCCTTTGAATACTGTAGGGCGCTAAATAACATGGTTTAATTTGTCAGTTACCTACAAAAACATATTTTTCTGGTCATTTTAGCTGTATGCTTGTTCACTTTCTTGCCAAGAGTTAGAAAGAAGATTGATAAAACTCTCGTGTATGTCTGTAAAATATGTTAGGCTACTAGCCAGCCGATGGTTAGCAAAGGTTAGCAATAAGAGAGGAAATGGGTTAAGGTAACAACATCTTCATACAAGGAGACGTATAAGATAAACAGCAGTAACAAAATATTAGGATGTAAGGATGTTTTTCACAACCCTCCATGATTACAAATGTCAGTGTGCTCTTTCCATCCTATGATCCTTGACTGTTTATTACTTTTCTCCCCCCTTAACAAAACCCTATATAATCTCCTCCAATCCTCCATCTCACTCCTCATTGGAAACACCCTTTCTCTATTTGATATCACTCCTCAAACCACCCAGTTCTTAAATATTACAACTGAGACAGAAATACCAGAAGCTAAATGATATTCCAACAAAGAATACAGAGACATTTCCTCACAGCAAACAGGATCTTAGGACTGGGCTGTGCCATTACTCGTTCTAACATTAATTAATACCGTGGGAATACGAAGAGATGATTAAATATGTCTCAAGGGAAAACATTTACAAGTTAAAACATGCATGGGACCTGACTACAAATCAGTAAATCGTTTACAGAGGAAATAGAGATGGGCTTTACTGTTTAATTAACAGAGGGATGAAAACCCCCAACCCACCCCCCGCTGTTCCTCTGAAGCATCACACATCATCTGCCCTCAAGCTACTGTAGGGCTGCTCAATTAATCGTATTTTAATCGCAATTACGATTTTGGCTTGCAACGATTATGAAAACAACATAATCTAAATAAAACGATTTTTTTTTTTTTTTTTTTTGGTTTTTCAGTTGAATTATACTTAAAGTTCAGGGTAATCAACTGTTAAAAACATACTGTTCACATTTTTTTTTTCAATAAATGGGTGTTTTCAAAGTAAATGGATAATCGTTTTTAATAATCGTGATATCAATTATTGACCCAAATAATCGAGATTATGATTTTTGCCATAATCGAGCAGCCCTACCTCAAGCCTTCATATCTCTTTCTCACGTCTTACATTTGCCCTCTCCTCCCATCACTGATGATACAGCAGAGGCTTTACACACACACCTAATGTACAGATGCACACTACAGTGACTGAATGATGTAATTCACTTTCCCTCTGTCCTCTTTTACTAAAAAACACCTTTCTGAATACCTCCCATTTACAATGTTGAAATATATTTCTTCAGGCAGCAATGCAAGATCTGTATGTGCGAGTGTGGAGGTAGCTGAGCAGCAAATGTACGCCGTGTAGGTGTGTGTCCATCAGTTAGCGCAGAGAGTTTGGGATCAAAGCAGACGCACGATGAGAGAGGAAGAGGGGAGTTTGTATGTGGGTGAAGGCAGAAGTTTGGCTCCTTTAACAAACTGCAGACTCAAACACATGCTGCCCCTACACTAATATGCTCTAACCAATGACCACCTAATTCTCTGTAGATATCAGATGCATAACAACTAATGAGAAATAAATGTAAAGTTATAAAGCTGAAACATGTCTGAAAGAAAGATTTGACAAACTGTCAGCACATGCAAGTTACAAGCTCTTGGGTCTAATCGTAATTAGTAGTTTGCAATTGTGATCAAGTGACTTTTGACACTAATAAGCAGTGCAAATAAATGTCAATTTTTTTTCACCCTCGTTAACATTCTGTGTTTCTGTTCATTAAAGTGGTCTTACTATTCAAGTAAAGTATGAAAAGATTGAAAGAGTTAAGTTAGTAAAATATAAAATATAAACATGTCCCTGATCAGATCTCCTACATTGTACCTCCATAGTCAATTACAAAAAAAAATAAAAAATTGAATGTGTGGCAAAAACACTTCAAACTAAATGACACATCCTATTTGTCATAAAGATGTTTCTGATGAACTGTAATGACATTAAATTATCCTTGTTTCTAGGTTTCACAAACAATAATAAGTCATTTTTAAATCAAATTAAAGAAACAGTACAAGGTGTTGAGACAGCCTTGGAGCGAGAGTTGTGTAATGAAATAATCAGATCCATACAACAACAACCAATTGAAATAAGTTCAAATCATTTAATTTAATTATTTTTAATAAAACAGTCTGGAAGTCTTAAAACTAAACGAGATAAACGGTAATTGGAAGAAAGCAAAAATATCACACACACAGCTTTCTGTTCCCCAAAATGCTTCGCAACCAATTAACCAAACCAGTGTTTGTCCAGCACACACACACAAACACACACACATATAAAGTCCTCACATCCTCCGCCCGCCGGCCTCTCCATCTCCTTGTGATTACCTCTGGTCCTGACAGCTGGCGAGCTGGGCGGCGTGTTGCTGTAGGCCGGCGAGAGGTACAGGTAGCTGGCGTTCACTCCTTGTTCAAAGTCAAAGGGCGAGTGGTACTCCTCCAGGGGCTCCATGTTTACAGCCTGGAGTGTTTGTTGGTCGGAGTGACTTCCACCTCCCTACCGCCACCCCCACCACTACCACAGCAGAGCCAGCAGAGTGCTGATTGTCTGCATGTGATCCCGGCGCGTGCTCACTCCCTGTTTACAGCGTCCTGCACTCTTGTGGTGTGTGTGAGGGAACGCAATATCCAAGTGTGTGAACACGTTTTTTATTGGCTTTCAGGTGTTGAGAGCACAGTGAAGCTGGATTTCCATTCTGCAGCAGGCTGAGGCGTAGTGAACTCCCTGCTCCTTCCTTGCTGTTAATAAGTTACCTGTGTCTTCAAGCTGCTGTTAAACACACACACTCTCTCCACACACACCCTTCCTCTGCACCGTAATCCCAAAGGTCAATGCTCAATCCATCCTTCAAACATCCTTTTGCACAATCAGCGTCGTTTTCAGATGTTAGCCACTGTTAGCAGAGCTGCAGAGATATTGCGTTACACTCCGGGTTTCAATAACTCTCAGGTCTCTCTGTCGATTCCCTCCCTCACTCACTTTCTGTCAACAAGCCTGTCATCCAAGGAGGGAATAAAAGAGGTCCCATTTGTGTGGGCTGGTCACATGTTGTGTGGTGGGCATTAGATGAAAAGCGTAATCTGCAGTGTCCCAGATTACGGCAAAGCGCTAATCCGGGTTGGCCGGTCCGGTTTGGAGCAGCAGTAATGCTAGTCAGTGCTAATGGAGGGGAGAGCATGCCAGAGGCTACACTTGGTATTGTGTGTACGCTACTTGAGGAAAAGTGCTCTATGTGGACTAAAGAGAACATGTATATGTGGCTTTATATGTGTGTAAATATATTAGGTCAGCAACTATGATTTTCATTTAAAAAAAGTCTTTTCAATCTTCAAAATACTGTAGCTCATAATTATTTCACTAAAATTAAACCAACTCTATTCAATTAACCTCCATTATAATTTAACTGCCATTATTTCTTACTCAAACAACACAGGTTATAACCAGCAAACCACATAATACATTAAATCACATTTTCCCCCATGCAAAATCTGAGAGTGCCATGTCATACGTATATGTGTCTAAAGGAGAGATAGCTGTGAAGGAATTCATGCTGCACGAAGATAGTAAATGTGCACAAATAGGTCATGTCTCGTTGCATTCAAAGACATTCAGGGAGTGTCAAAAGCCAGCAATTGTGTGCACACACCTGCTAGTACCCTAAAGGCTGCAGAGGAGTAGAAAAGCAGCCTGGTGGCATTCCAGCACCAACTTTATGACAAAGGATGTAGATGTTATCAAGACTGTATTGTAGCTTGAGGTTAAGAGGGAGATAAAGACATTCTGAGCACAACAGTACCCTGAGGGTGATAGTATAGTGAAGCTGTGTGAAGTTTCTAGTAGAAAGCATGATTTAATCAAAAAAATATATGTTTTTTCTGTACTTTCCAGATCATTTGGGTCATGCAAGGCTAACTAATGTAACTGTGCTGTGCCCTGATCTGCAGAGTCAGGCTTCATTGCGTCCATTCAGCAAGGTCAGCCCAGGAAGTGACACACATACAGTCTCTCAAAGCAAACGATCAAGTATCAACATGCACGCATGCACTCAAATAGGCCCGCACCAAGAACAGTGAATATTCCCCAGCATCGTTCCTCTCTTCTTGTTTCTCAGATGGTCTCACACGGACATGTACAACACAAC